AGATAATTTAATACACAGCATTTATGCACATTTATAAATTTGGATTTGAAAGTTTACAAATTTTATTGAAATTTTATATAAAAGATTCCTAACCAAAGTGTGTTTCCTGCCATGTTTGCATTCTCAATTTCTTTAAAGTTGAATAATAGCAGCCGATCATAAGGCAACCCAATTCTGAAAGATTGTCAGCTCTCTTTGCATTGTGAGCTCGTGAGAGATATCCTCAATGTTTCTGAAGTTGGTATCAAGAAAGCAGCGTTTGATCCCTCATTGAACCACAGGAAACTGATTCTAGGCAGAAATGGTGTATTTCTAGCACATGTATGTGTCCTCCTCTCTGAATGGCTGAGCAACAAGATGCAGAATCCTTATTACCTGAAGCAGACCATTCCCCAGATCTAGGCTGTAGAACTTTCCATGTTGAGGATACTTGATCAGAATAAATGGAGAGGAGCACTTTTCTAGCCTCATTACTGATCCTGTGGCTTCATCTTGGTCGTAAGTCCAGGGGCTGCTGAAGACATTCTGAGCAGTCTGGGGTGGTGATGGAGAAGGTGGGGGGTGCATTCAGGCACCTCCAGGTTCTAATATTTGGAAATGTGAAGACAATGAATACTCTGTATATAAGTCAGTTTCTATGTGTGGCCTTGTCTTTCTGAACAGGAATGAGCAGCCTCTTGACTGTGGAACAGCGTCCTCCTTTGCTATATTCAGGAAGGAGAGAGCCCCAATTTCACTTGCAATTCCCCTTCCAGCTCTTTCTATGCATTACACTGGGACAGATGGGAACCTGCAAAAAGCCCCAAGAACATGTTTGTAGTGAGTGTAAATGGGGATGAAAAAGAGCAAGGACTAGTGAGAGTCACTCTGAACACTGAGGGTGACAGCTCCATGTACATCGGAGGATCCCAGCCTGAAGACTCAGCCACACACCTCTGAGCCTCCACGCAGCACCCCTCAGCCCCCTGCAGCCCACACCCAAAGCCATGCCTGCTGCTGCTCTGGGACCAGAGCTGAGGAAGAGCCATGTGTGGGTTGGAAATGGTAACGTCAATGAACTACAGTGTTTTCAGTAATCAGCGGGAAGTGGAACCGTAAATTAACAGGTATTCCAGTCACTGTAGTTCCCTCAACTAACTCGACTGTACTGAACATCACTAACGTGACTCCCACCAGTATATTGGTCATATCACTGAGTCAGATCTCTAGCCTCTTTTCACATGATTTAAAATGCACTAAATGATTACTCAAAGATATCAAACAAAATAATGTGGTTCAACTAGGTCAACATTTAAACTCCACTGTTGCTACATCCTAAGAGCTAGACCTTCTATGGTGTTTCTTCACATTCATGAATGAGACATGGACACACGCCTTCTTCTCACACGCCTGGCAAGAAAATCTGCATGTTTTATACCAGAACAATCAATTATGCCTCATTAATTAATTGGAGAGATTTTGATTTTGGTTTACTTCAACCTTCTCATGGCATGGGTATTTGTATTTCATTTCTTCTCATATGAAGCTATTTGCATTTTTAAAACCCACTTTTGATATCTGAAAGGAGCATTGATAGGGGAAGTCCACCACTGTCTCCAGAGAAACCTGTATGTGGGTCAAGAAGCAACAGTTAGAATCAGACATGGAACCACAGACTGGCTCAAAATTGGGAAAGGAGTATGTCAGGGCTGTATATTGTCACCCTGCCTATTTAACTCTATGCAGAATACCTCATGCAAAACCCTGGGCTCGATGAATCACAAGCTGGAATCAAGATTGCTGGGAGAAGTATCAATAACCTCAGATATGCAGATGACACCATGCTTACGGTAGAAAGCCAAGAGGAACTAAAGAACCTCCTGATGAGGGTGAAAGAAAGTAAAGAACCTCTGATGAGGGTGAAAGAGGAAAGTGAAAAAGCTGGATTAAAACTGAAAATTCAAAAAGCTAATCATGACATTCAGTCCCATCACTTCATGGCAAACAGAGGAAAAGTGGAAGCAGTGGAAGATTTTATATTCCAGGTCTGCAAAATCACTGCATGGTGACTGCAGCCATGAAATTAAAGGATGCTTGCTCCTTGGAAGAAAAGCTATTATAAACCTAGACAGCCTATTAGAAAGCAGAGACATCACTTTGCTGACAAAGATCCGTATAGTCAAAACTATTGTATTCCCAGTAGCTGTGTATGGATGTGAGAGTTTGACCAAAAAGTCTGAGCATTGAAAACCTGATGCTTTCGAGTTGTGGTGCTGGAGAAGACTCTTGAGAGTCCTTGGACAGCATGTAGATGAAAACCATCAATTCTAAAGGAAATCAACCCTGAATATTCTTTGGAAGACTGTTGCTGAAGCTCCAATACTTTGGCCATGTGATGCGAAGAGCCGGCTCATTGGACAAGATCCTGATGCTGGGGTGGATTGAGGGCAGGAGAAGATGGTGACAGAGGATGAGATAGTTGGATGGCTTCACCGGCTCAGTGAACAGGAATTTGACAAACTCTGGGAGATAGTGAAAGACAGGGAAGCCTGGCATGCTGCAGTCCATGGGGCCTCAAGGAGTCGGACACAACTTAGTGACTGAACAACAACAACAACTTAATATGCGGACCCCTGAAAACACTCATCAAATTAGAATGGAAAGAAATTCAACCCTGGTAAGAACGAGGAGGAAATAGGGCATAAGAGCCTCAAGATGGGATTTGTTCCCACTGCTATCCTCCAGGGGGTGATGTTGCATAAATTGGAAATGTCACCTCCAACAAAAGTTCCATTTCACTCCTATGAGCTTCTGTATCTTGCAGCTTAGTGAGGTACACATTTGAACAGGCTCAACACCAGGAACAGTCATTGTCAAGGAAGCATTTCTTCCTGATAGTCACTATAATTTGCTTAAATAGGGATCTTTTGAATCTCAGATTTCCCTTTAATAGGATTCAGCACACTCTGGCACTTTGCTTCTGGCTCCTTAGGGAAAATCTTCCACAATATGGCTCCCAGCTTCTTTTCTGCACAGTCAGGTTCTCCACCACCCTTTGCCTGTTGGGAATGCTCTTCATAGGGAATCAGTAACATTATATTCCACGCTCCTTCTTCTATAGAACAAACCAGTTCTGGTTGAAATCTTAATGGAGACATTGTCTTATTATAGGCAGATTTGTCTTGGTCTCACTGATTCAGCACTAATGTTGCAGGAAGAACTGGAGGCCAGTCAGTGACCCGCCTGACAATCACATCACTGGCTCTCAAGGGGCCCCCTGAAGTGGAGGTGCAACTATTCCTACCTCCAGTGAACTTCCTTATCTCTTCTTGTACGTCCAGACAATAGAATATGAAGGGGAAAAAAAGGCTTTGTTTATCCAGTGATCACCTATAACGGACATTCTAGGTTAAGTACATTTTTGTGGCAAAGTTCCAACTGACCCACTCTGGTTGCCCCTCTCTTCTTTTCTCTCTTCTAATTCTATTATCTAATATCCACTGTGTGGCCAATAATTATTATTATTACTTTTATTTTTCTACACTGTTTCTCACAGTTCCTTTAGTCAACATTTGCAACCATCTCGAACTGTCTATCTGATCCTGAGTGTCTGCAGATCACTTCAGTTTTACTTCAGTGAAAATATGCAAGTCCTCATCTTCTATCCCCTTTACCTCTAAATCCATATACAGGGAACCATTATTAATCATAAGAGAAAAAGCACAGAATTGATTTTCATATGTTTTAAAAAATACTTATTGTTTTTTAAAAATGACCTACTAGAGCTAAAAAGCAGAATACAAATAACAATAATCAACTGTTAAAATACTTAGTGTAAAATAGATATCTAGTGGGAAGGTTCAGTATAACAGATGGAGCCCCTACTGGTTGTCTGTGAGGAACTAGAGGGTTGGGAGGAAAAGGGGAGGGAGGCTCAAGAAGGGTGGTATATATATGTATATATAACCATGACTGATTGGCATTTTTGTATGGCAGAAATTAACACAAGAATGTAAAGCAATTATCCTCTAATTTAAAAAATAGCTAAATAAAATATGATGTATTTAAACCTGCAATTTTATATAAAATTTATTTTTATTTTAAAATTATATATGTTTTAATAAAAATAAAACAATTTACAATTCTAATTTCAGTGCCCATCTAGAGATTAAAAATAATATAACTCTTTATGTAGGTTCAGTCTAGAAGAAGTATATATATATAATTTAAAAATGAAACTGTTTAATACTGAAAAGCATTCCAGCCAAGACTGTTATGAATACTGTGCTGATTTGTGAGCACCCTTCAGAATCACAGGTGAGTACACAGGAGATGACAAAAAAAAAAAAAAGGATCCTGAGAACTGAAAAAATATTTCATTATGCAAGAATCTCCTGCATCCATGCCATCTGAGACTAAAACTATGGCTAGATAATTAATTTTTGTTTTCTCTTCCCTAAAATCCTCCACAAATTCCAAATCAGAGTCTGCCTTCACTGCAATGTTCTTAGAAAATGCCCCTCAGGTCCTAAAATAAAGACCTTTCTATTTTCCACTCCCCTCCACTCCTCTCCAGGCCATTCTGAATTGGTTGAGGTGGGAGGGTGGGGCTTCCTGTCACAAAGTGAGGGCATGAGCAGGACTTGGTGGGTGAGCTGATTGGCTGAAGGAGCAGGAACATTTCCACAGCAGCTTATGACACACCCTCCCTCAGGGTTTAGTGAAGTATCTGACAGTGAAAATGTCTCAGTGAGAAGAGGAGGCATCATGAAGAGGCTAGCAGGCGCTGTGTTGGGGCTTTTATTTGCCCAGATTTGCTGTGAGTTGGGTCTGCCTCCCAGGGGCATCTAAAGGATTCAGCAGCTGCTGTATTGTTAACGGAAGAAGAAGAAATGCCAAGTCCTGCAGACTTTCTATCCTCATCATCTATGGGAGTTGTGTGTGTGTGGGGGGGTCACTTCCATGATTTTGTCAGAGTTACAGTGACCTTCTCCTGTGACTGTTTCTCTGTTTCTCACCAGCTGTGAGAGGGGAGGATGTGGAGCAGAGTCCCCCAGCCCTGAGTCTCCAGGAGGGAGCCAGCTACACGCTTCGGTGTAATTTTTCTGCCTCTGTGACCAATGTACACTGGTATCTTCAGAACCCTGGGGGCCGCATCATCCACCTGTTTTCTGTTCCTTCAGGGACAAAGCAGGATGGAAGATTAAAGGCCACCACAGTCCCTGCAGAACGCCGCAGCTCACTGCACATTTCCTCTCCGCGGACCACAGACTCGGGCACTTACTTCTGTGCTGCGCAGCACGGTGCTCCCCAGGCACCTGCAGCCTCTACACGAACCCTCCCGGGGCTCAGCCCCTCCTCCAGCCTCAGTCACACCATGAGGCCCCCACAGGGCATTTGCAGTGCTGATTGTTTCTTACCTGCACTGGTACAGTTTTAATCACAGACACTTTTCCGCCTACAGATTGTGAACTTTGGTCTTTGTCTTCCTTTCTCAACCTGTATCTCCTTCTGCACTAGAGACTTCTAACTTGGAACTAGTAGAGTAGCTGATAGGGGGACAAAAATAAAATAAATATTCAACCATAGTATGCTGAACTCAAAAGTGGTAAAAAGTGAGAATTCAGAGAAAAAAATAACTCCAATAAAGTTGTTATCCTGATTAGTTAGATGTCTCAAGAATGTTCAGATCTGCCTTACCAGAGTGTGTCCCAAAAGACACTTGCATCATCCCATCCTACGAGGGCAGCAAAGTGAGCAACAACAATAAACCTTACTCAATGTTTAATATGAGCTTGATAACTTAGAATAAAATTATTCTGGATGCAAGAAATCTTAAATCTATTTCCATAGTCAAGGTCTTGGAAGAGTTGACTGCTTCTTGAGATCTAAGGGATAATCCATTTCCTTGCCTTTTTTAGCTTCTGAAGGCCAACTAAATTCTTTGGTTCATGACTCCTTCTTTAATTACTAGAACTTCTTGCTTCCCTCACCGTAGCTCCTTCCTCTTTTGGAGTCAAATATCTTTCTGTCTCTGTCCTATAAGGTATAAAAAATATTAAACAGAAATCTCAGTTAAATAGAGTTGGGAGATAGAGGGAGCTCTCGTGACCTGTGGACATAGTGGAGGGCAAGGGGAAGATGAGGACGCCTCTTATTTCCTGGCAAGGACTCAGCCAATGAAAAGCCGTGGGCTCTTGTTTACTGGAGCCCTCTCAGCTTCCTTTTTCAATTTACGTTGTCTTAAATTCTTTTCAACAATGTCTTACAGTTTTCAGAGAACAAGTCTTTCACCTCATTGGTTAAATTTATTCCTAGGTACTTTTGATTCTTTTTGATTTAACTAGAAATTGGATTGCTTTCTTAAATTCTCTTTCTGATACTTATTATTAGTATATAGAAATGCAACAGACTGCTGTATATTAATCTTGTATCCTGCAACTTTATCTTGTAATCAACTTTGTTGATTGTTTCTATTAGTTTTTTGGTGGTTTCTTTACAATTTGCTATGTAGAGTATCATGCTATCTGTAATTAGAGACAGTTTACCTCTTTCTTTTCAACTTGGATGCCAATTATTTCTTTTTCCCATCTGATTACTGAGACTAGGACTTCCAGTACTATGTTAAATAGGAATGGTGAGAGTTGCCTCCTTGTCTTGTTACTGATCTTGGAGAAAAAGATTGTTTTTTACCATTTAGTATGATGTCAGCTGTAGATTTGTAACAAATGGTTTATTATTTCAAGGCATGCTCTCTTTATACCAAATATATTGACAGTTTTTATCATGAATGTTAAATCTTGTCAAAATCTTTCTGCATTTATTGACATAGTCGTGTAATTTTTATCCTTTATTTTGTTACCCTGGTATATCACCTTGCTTCATTTGTGGATAGTGAACCATCGTTGCACAACTGAAATAAATCTCTTGATCATGATGCGTGATTCTTTCAAGTTTTGTTGAATTCAGTGTGCTACTATTTTGTTAAGAATTTTTGCATCTATATTCATCAGAAATATTGGCCTGAATTTTCTTTTTTGTAGAATCTTTGTCTAATTTTGTTATCAGGATATTGTAGGCCTCAGAGAATGAGAGTGAGAGCATTTCCTCATCTTTGATTTTTAGGAATAATTTGCAAAGGGTGGGTACTAATTTTTCTTTAAATATTCAGCTGAATTTCTTCTTGAAGCATATGGCCCTGGATTTCTGTTTCTCAGGAATTTTTTGATTACTGGTTCAACTTAATTACTAGTAATTGGTCTGTTCAAATTTTCTTTTTCTTTCATATTCCGTCTTGGAAGACTGTGTGTGTCCAGGAATGTATCACTTTTACAGTCATATTTTTAGGTTCCAGGCATTAGGACTTGAATAACTTTGGGAGTCCTTTTTCAGGATACCACATTTATTACAGCTACTCTGACTATCTGTTTTCCACCCCTCTGGCACTTGCTGTTGTCTGCTTGTTTATTTGCCTATTGACTTGATTATTTCAGGTAAGCTAATTTTTCCCATAGTGTACAGCCTATGATGTTGTTCCTCAAAGGATATAGTCTTGGGTACATTCTCAGACATCCTGATGCAGTAGTGGGTTAGCAAGGCTCTTTAACAGTCTTTTTCTCTAATTTCTATGCTAGACTATTTGCTTCTGTTTGTATTCAGTTCAGTTCAGTTCAGTCGCTCAGTCGTGTCTGACTCTGCGACCCCATGAATCGCAGCACGCCAGGCCTCTCTGTCCATCACCAACTCCTGGAGTTTACTCAAACTCATGTCCATCAAGTCAGTGATGCCATCCGGCCATCTCATCCTCTGTCGTCCCCTTCTCCTCCTGCCCCCATTCCCTCCAAGCATCAGGGACTTTTCCAACGAGTCAACTCTTCGCATGAGGTGGCCAAAGTATTGGAATTTCAGCTTCAGCATCAGTCCTTCCAATGAACACCCAGGACTGACCTCCTTTAGTATGGACTGGTTGGATCTCCTTGCAGTCCAAGGGACTCTCAAGAGTCTTCTCCAACACCACAGTTCAAAAGCATCAATTCTTTGGCACCTAAGCAATAGACTCCACTAATCACTGGCTGATTTTTTCCAACAATGTTATGAAGCCATAAATTGTTCCCAGGTCACATCTAATTAAATGAAGCCTGTTTGCAGAGAAAGGCTTTGAAACTTTTCTTTGAGGTCTTCTGACCAGAGAGGACTTTTCCTAGCTCTCCCCTTTCTTGTACTTTCTGTTAAGATTTTAAGTTGTTGTCTATGAATTAATTTGTTACTCTCATTGAGTTGCCAGCCTTCTCTTAATTGTTTACCATAAGCATCTCCATTGTTTTCAACAGCACCCTTAAACTTGGGCTTCCCAATGATGGTTTCAAATATAGCCTTCTCAAAGGGAGACCTCTGTTTTTACAGCTGCTTCTCTCTGTGGGCACAACACCTGAGCCACTGCTCTGGACCTGTATTAAGGGACAGTTGGCTGCTTGTCTCAGAGTGAATCCCTGTGTTATGAGAAGCGTGATGGAAGGGAGCAGTAGCCTCTTGTCTTCTTGGCTTGCCTTTGCCAGCATGAAATCACCACTCTATGAGCTGGGATGAGAGCGAGAGGACCCAGTATCTTCAGTCTACCATGCCTGACATAGAACCTCTGTGCTATAAGTGAGGTGAGAAGTGGCCATAGAGCTGTTAGCTTTTCTTGTTTGTAACACAGTTTCTGTAACACAGGCCTGGGGGACGTAAGAAAGGACAGCAGTCAGCCCCTCTGTAGGAGATATGATAGCCCTGTACTGCAGACTGGAGAGAGAAGGAGCCTTGTGTCCTTGGTTGTGTCCACCTTGAGTAGAACTTCCATCATCTTGAGCTGGGGACCAGGAGTAGGTCATGGTACAATTGCCACAGATTCTTTCTGCTGTCATGGAGATTTAGTAGATTTTATGAAAAAATGTGTCTCTATTACCGTTTTTATATGCTGTATAACCTAAAGGCTATGTCCAGTGGCTTTAGTTTCTTAAAAATAATTTTCATCTGTTTTAACTGTTTTGTTGGGGAGAGTATCCATAAATCAACTCACAAACTCATTCTGGAAGGTACAGCCTTTTGTTTACATTGTTAGCACAAATAGAATATGATTAGACAGAATATAATCAAAAGTTAAGCTTTTCTTTGAGATTCATTGGCTTTCTCCATTGACAAAGAAAGTTGTCTTCTTGTCTTTAGCCTAAACCTGCCACAAATATGATTCTACCATGGATCTCCATATTAATACAATCATGTTTTCTGAGAGTATTAATATTGAAAAACAGGAATATGAGATCTTTTCTGAAACACTAGTTATACTTAGAGCTATTATTCATAGTATAAAGATTAACAGTCATATCTTCTAAGTTTTGACTCTTCAACATAAAGCACCATTAGTGTTGGGTTTTTATAATATTTAATATTAGTGTATCAAAGATAACATAATCATGAGAAGTAGTATAATTTTTCACTAATGAAAATAATGGACAAGCTATTTAAATACTCTCTGCCTTGGGTCCTTTTCCTCAGACTCAGACCTTGAGAGGAAGATCTACCAGGTTCCTCTGCCCATGGGATTTTCCAGGCAAGAATACTGGACTGGGTTGTCATTTCCTCCTCCAGGGGATCTTCCCAACCCAGGGATCGAACTGGAGTCTCTTAGGTCTCCTGCCTTGGCAGGCGGCTTCTTTACCACTAGCACCGCCTGGGAAGCCCACTGACTAGGGAAAAGGAAAAGGCCAAACAAGAGGAAGATTTCAGATGTTCCTGATGTTCTGTCTGCCTGGTTCTGTGGGGAGTGCTAGAGCACATATCAGACTATACTGTACCAGTTAGACAAAAGAATTGGATAGTCCCAGTTATCAGTTATTATCTAAGCTCTTGGCAGCAAAACACAAAGAACTTGGGGACTGAGCACAGATGAGGTTTCTGAGAAAATTTGAGCAAAGTACCAACAATGCCTAATATAGCCACTGTAACATTTATTCCTTGGAACAGTCCTGCAGGTTTCACTGCTTTTGCTATTATTCAAGTCAAATTCTCCAATGTTCGCTTTTGCTTTGAACTTTCTTTGCCTATCTAACCAACCCTCATCTCTTTCTAGCCACATCTACACATGTCTTCCCCAGCACTATCTGCTTTAATCTTCACACTTCTCTGCTCCCTAAGTGATGAAGAACATTTTTAACTCACAAACCCATGTTTCTCTCCTGACCCTGGATATTTTCCTCCCCAACCTTTCCTTCAGACCTCTTACATTTTGACCCTTGATATTGCTTCTCTTATTCACTATATTTTCCAGAATCATCTTCACCATTCAGAGGTGGTGGATTGTTTTATTCTCTCTCTGATAAAATATCAACAGAAATGGTCATGTGATCTTAAAGACATCAGAAGCTGAGGGACATCTGAGATACCGATGTGTGTAAAGGAAGA